TGGGAAACACTCGCTGACACCTCTAATCATCAGCGACACACTGAATTAGATACGCCTGTCTGATTACTGACACCCACTCAGCTCCAGGAAAGTAGACAGCAGATGTTTGGAGTTTTGTAATGCATCTTTGTAGCACTGGCAGTTGGAGAGACTAAAAAATGTGCATGCATATGAGAGTTTCAGAGAATTTCAAAAAAGGAATGGGAGGATTTAGAGTGTAACTCTGATTTCAGTTTCCTTTATGCTTTTGCATGCATACTTCCAGCTGGGTTAAACCAGTGTCGCTTCCGTCTTTCTGTGTTACCTTGGAAATGGTTTGGATAATAATTTGTTTTGATGTGCGTGTGAACTCAGGAAGATCAGCAACGGTTGCTGTTGGAGGAGAGAAGACAAAGAGAGCTTAATTCTTCCAGAACAGAACCACCAGAACCAGAAACCCCACAAAGGCCAGAGCCAGAACCTGAAGAGCAACAACGGGTCATCTCTTCCCCAAACTCCTCTGAGGTATGAATGAAATTCAAACTATAAGTTAGTGAAAAATATTTTGTTTTCCTTGTAAAATGATTAAACTTAATGCAACAGACACGCATATGTAGTCCTTTTAATCCATGTATTCTCGATGTTCTTGTCGAGACCTGATGCTGACATTACCCACAATACAAGGAGTTTCCACGAAACTCTTAACGCAGGATTGTTAGATTAGTTTTGAGAATTGTTGCCTCACAGTAAGAGGTTAGAATCCACCAGCTGGCTGCAGCCTTTCTGTGTGCAGTTTGCATGTTCTCCCCGTGTTTGCGTGTGTTCTCTCTGGGTACCCTGACTCCTTCCCTGATAAGGAGAAGCAGAAGCGAATGGATAAAATGTTTCTATGGCGGTACCAAAAGACAATGCAAGCTTTGACGCTTATGTCACCTGTTTTGTTGTTATTCTGTTTCATTTTTCATGATTTTATAACTAACTGACTTCCAGCATCTTTAACCAAGACATTTACATTTTTATCATCTCATCCTTGGGGTTTGGGGACCCAAAACAAGTGTAACCACTATAAACTCCAATAGGAACTGGTCAGTTTATCATGGTAAATTGACTGTTTTTTTTTTTTTTTGTTTGTTTTTTTTCAAGCTTCTTTAAAGACCATTTGTCTTCCAGCAGCGTAGCCTGCCCCTCTTCCTCTCTCCAAACTTTGACCTGAGGGCCCATGTGGAGTCTCTGGGTCATGGAGTGACTGGCTGCACGGAACTGCGGCTGACGTCTCGACGCTGTGCGGGCTTCCTGACCAAACGAGGGGGGAGGGTCAAAACCTGGAAGAAGAGATGGTTCCTGTTTGACATGGACCACAGACGACTAGCCTACTATACAGGTTAGACTGGTTGGAGGGGTGTGCTCGCTGACTCTGTGTTTGCCTCTTTGTTTGAATGAACCTTTCTCTGTCACGCTAGGAGGTGGTCAGACTTATTATAAGATTACATCACATCAAAGTTTTTATTCTAAACATTTTAAAAAAAATTTTCTTACGTTTTATTGTGCTTTGAAGAAAGAACAAGGAATTATTTTTTTTTAATTCACATTGACTTAAATATTCAATATTAATGTTCTAAAATTCCTTTTTTGCCTTTGCTGCAGACTGTGATGAAAGGAAGCTAAAGGGAGTCATTTATTTCCAAGCAATAGAGGAAGTTTACTACGACCATCTACGAACAGGCACCTCTGTGAGTTCTCATATTTTACACAACTGGACTTTAAATAAATCTGTGAAGTTTTTCATGTGTTCCTGAGCACAGACCTTGGATCAGACAGGCAACAGTTTGTAAATGTAGCTTAAACTGCACTGGACTCATTTTGTAGAGGTTCTAAAGTCATTTCTTGACATGTCATCCAGTCATAAATCCGCCAAAACACTTTCAAAAAATATTTCTAGAATCTCTTTACAGAATGTTTTCAGGACCAATATTTATAATGATTATTAAATATATTACAATAGCGCAGAGAGGAAGTCCAATAAATATTTTCTTTCTCCTGAAACGTACAGTTAACACAAACAAAACAACTCAAGTAGAATTAAGATAACTATCACAGGTACACACATGTGCATTTGAGTTTATTGTAGTATGTAAACCAGTTACAAAATTTGTTTTGCTACCTTATATTTCCAAATAGTTTTGTTTATATGATATGACCTGATACATGTACCATCATATTTGAATAGACTAGAAATCAAAGGTAGGTTGTTGGTAACATTAGTACTGCTTAGTAAGACTTTTATTTGGTGCTCACGGGCATCTTCTAAGAAAGTAATAGTGTCAACCCTCTTACTTACAGTGACCTTATTCACCATGTAGGAATAAATGAAAAGGAAAGGAAAAGAAAATCCTCAGGGAAATAGTTTGTGGTCAGAAGATCCTGTTCTTTTCTTAGTTGTGTGAAACAGGTGATTATCAGTCTGCACTTATACAACAAATAGAGGCTAAGTTAATGCTGCAAGACAGAAATTAGAAAAATGGTTAAAAAGTACAAACATTATTGTAACATTAATCTCTTATTACCAGACTTTTGTTCTGCTGGGCAGCGGTTTTACTTGGATATACACTACCAGTGAAAAGTTTGGACACACCTTCTCATTTAAGTCTGTCTGTCTGTAGAAAAAAATGATAAATAACTCTAAATATGCCTTGCATTTTAGATGCTTGATAGAAGCCACTGTTTGCTTTCTTGACAGTGCTGAAAACCCTTGACCTTCTCTCAATGAGCTTCATGATCACTTGGAATGGTTTTCAGTTCACAGGTGTGCCTTGTCAGAGTTCATTTGTGGAATTTCTTGCCTTCCTAATGGGCTTGTCCTATTTGACAACTATTAGAATCATATTATGGCAAGAACCAATCAGCTAAGTAAAAGGAAACAACAGGAAGGAAGGAAGGAAGACTAAGAGTCACCTCTGCTGCTGAGGATAAATTTATCTGAGTCACCAGCCTCAGAAATCGCAAGTTAATGAAAAGCAATGAGCACAAGATATGTGTTTGGACCAAGAAACACAAGGAATGGACATTAGACCAGTGAAAATATGTGCTTTGGTCTGATGAGTCCAAATTTGAGATCTTTGGTTCCACCCGCTGTGTCTTTGTGCAATGCAGAAAAGCTGAACGGATGTTCTCTACATGCATGGTTCCCACCATGAAGCTTGGAGGAGGTGGTGTGATGGTGTGGGTATGTTTTGCTGGTGGCACTGTTGGGAATTTATTCAAGATTGAAGGCACACTGAACCAGCATGGCAACCACAGCATCCTGCAGCGACATGCCATCACATCCAGTCTGCGTTTAGTTGGACCATCATTTATTTTTCATCAGAACAATGACCCCCAAAACACCTTTGGGCTGTGTAAAGACTATTTGACAAAGAAGGAGAGTGATGGAGTGCTGCGCCACATGGCCTGGTCTCCACAGTCACCTGATATAAAGCCAATCGAGATTGTTCAGAATGAGATGTACCACAGAGTGAAAGCAAAATGACCAACAAGTGCTCAGCATGTCTGGGAACTCCTTCAAGACTGTTGGGAAATCATTTCAGATGACTTATGAAACTCATCGAGAGAATGCCAAACATGTGCAAAGCAAAGGGGGGCTGTTTTGGAGAATATATAATTTTTTTTTTTTTGCTTGCTACATAATTCCACGTGTTCATTCATAGTTTTGATGCCTTCAGTGAGAATCTACAATGTAAATAGTCATGAAAATAAAGAAGAACGATTAAACTAGAAGGTGTGTCCAAAATGACTGGTATATCTTAACAAACAAAACAAAAAAAACATTACCACTAAGCAAAAAAAGCTGCTTCTTCATCAGCTGATGACGGTTTCATTGTCTGTGCCTTCTTTTTAGTCACCACGGCCCAGTCTGACGTTCTGTGTGAAGACATATGACCGTCTGTTCTTTCTGGTGGCTTCCAGTGCAGTGTCCATGCGGATCTGGATGGATGTTATTGTCACAGCAACAGACGAGCATAGTCGTTATTAACTTTTGAATTTACAATCCTTGCTTCTAGGCAGGCAGCGCAAGAGGGCTGTGTTTCCCTCTCTGCTGTCTAAGGTCTGATTTTGTTGAAGATCCACCTCAGGAGCTCATTCTATACCTGGACTCATGAATATGTGAATAAAGTGCACGAGATACAGATGTGGTTAAACTGAGTTGTGGAAACTGTTACTGACAGAGTGATTGATGGCGACAGAGGTTCACCAGCTGCAATCCACAAGCAGCTTCACTCAGCAGCTTGCACAATGGGTGTCTGTTACTGGGAGGTGTTAAGCTGAGTTTTACCTCCCTCTCCTGGTCACAATCAAGCATTACAAGAATGATGTACACTACGCAATAATACACTACAGCAGGTGGTGAACATAATAACAACTCCTGTGCAATACTATGCATTCCACTGTAACAGTCCAAAAATAAGTGCACTTAAATTAGACTGTCAGAGGCACGTCGAGGTTAAACACTGTGACCGTTTTGTGTTGTAATATGTTTTGGATTGCTTTATATTGTCAGATGTTCCCATTAAAATGTCCAAATTTCTCTCAGTTTTTATTGAAGATGCATTGTAAATGACATTTTTAAAATTATTTATTATTCAGAAATTTTTATGGGTTTGATTTTCATATAAATGAAGACATACACTGTTATGCACTATTAAAATTTTATTCATAAAAAAAAGTTTTATCTGCATTTATTCATAATACATTTTTTTATTGTAAGATGGTTGCAATAGTAAATAATTCTGACGAATGAATGTGGAAGTTACAGATATGATCCAGTTTGTCATCTTCTTGTCATCATCTTCTTTCGGCTGCTCCCTTTAATGGCTGCCACAGCAGATCATCTGGCTCCATGTCACCCTGTCCCTGGCATCCTCCCGTGTTACTCCAACCCTCTGCATGTCCTCCTTCACTACATCAACAACATCCTTTGTCTGTTATCAACTGTTGCTTCTCTGCAAGGTTGAAATGTCTACGCTATCTCTAACTTTGTCCCCAAACTGCTCAACCTGAGTTGTCACTCTGATTTTTAGTAGTGTCCATTCTGGTCACTCCCAGTGAAAATCTTGGCATTTTCAATTCTGCCACCTCCAGCGAAGCCGGCTGTCTTTTCATCAGTGTCACCATCTCCAAACCACAGAGCAGGTCTCGCTATCATCTTGTAAACCTTCCCTTTGCCTTGTCACCTGACACTGAACTCAACCAACTCCACCCCACCTTACCTTCATCCTCTCTTCTTCACCTCTCCTGTGCATTGTCAGTTACTTTGGATGGTTGACCCCAGATACTTAAAACTCATTCACCGTCATTACCTCGTACGTAACATGTTCAGCTTTCCACGTGTCTCCCTTGCCCACACACGTCTTGCTTCTGCTGACTTTTGTAGTTACTGCAGTTCTGTATATCACCCTTGCTCCTGAAAAACATAACATTGAAAATCAGTTTAGTGTCGAGCTATTTCCAAGTACATCACTGTGTACACTCACCAGGCACTTTATTAGGTACACGTTGCTGGTACAAGGTACCAGAACTGTCTTTATTCTGTCTTTATTGTGTCATAGAATATTAACATCAGCTCATAATTCACCTTTCTTTCCCATTTCAAGCTCTCAGTGGGATCAAATGCATTATACAAATAATGCATTATCATGCACAATTCTGCACTTGGTTAAAACAGCTGAAATACAGAGAGAGTATCAAAACCTCGTTGTTCTGCTACACGCCACTCCCCGGACACATCTGACAAGAGCTGTGTGCGACATCCAGACACACTACCAGTCTGACATGACTCACTTGTTGGATTACTACTACTGATGCTTTAATGCTTGTAAACCCTTCATTTTAACTTTATTAATATTATTGTTATGATTGTATACTTTAAAATGATCTCAGGATTTGTGACCTCAAATTAGTTTTTTTAATTTTTTTTTTTCCAGAAAAGACACTGTATGCTGAACACTTCTGTTGGCTTTTAAGGTAAGACTGTTACCTTAATAAAAGTACTAAATATTATATGAAATACTGTTGAGGATAAAGAATAAGATCATGGATGATTTTTATATTGCTTCCTCTTTTTTAGTTAATTATTACCTTCAAAAAGGGGAATAATTACATAAACAATGAAGCAAACAAAGTCTCACTGGCTTAAAACAATATCTCAGTTATTTTCAGCAAAACATCAACATTTTGTAGAATGGAGATAGTGTGACTCTCAGCTTGTCCTAAAGACTATGTTTGAATGTTAGCCATACAATAACATTTATAGCAAGCAATAAAAGTGTCCTGTTTCCAGTACCTCACTCGGATCATCAGACGAATATGACGGTTGCAATAAAGGTTTTCTTTATATGCAGTCTACTTCAAGGTATGTTATTTTAATTTCAGTCATGTTGCTGGGGACTTATCTGTCTTTCCACATATGTAGATGCAAATGCAGAACCTTTACGTTGGCGGTAATTAGAATGTTTACTTTACCATACCTAATGTCATGTTTCTGCTGCTTCAACTCAGGTAGCTTATGCCAAAACTGGGCAGTCTTCTTGCCTCAGACTGTAGAAGCACTGAGTGGATCCTGCCTGTTGATCCGCTGCAGATTCACCTTGCCCCCAGAATGGGAGGAATTCCTGGATGATTCATGTAAAGCTATCTGGAAGAAAGGCTGGAGTAGAACTCCGGTGTTTGATTCCAGCCTCACTGGTGCAAGTGGAAGTTTAAATATCCAGCAAGGAAACCTGACTGGAATCCTGCGTGACAAAGACTGCACCACCATCTTCAACAACATGCCACCACGCCATTATGACAACTATTACTTCAGACTGCAGTGTGACAATGATTTGAAGTTTAACTTTCCTTCAAGTGTCCTCATATCCACTCAAAGTTTGTCCCCTCCTCTTGCTATTCTACACATAAAGCCACATCTTTACTACATTTTAGGTCATTATGTCATTTTTGTATTGTTCTACTTTTCAGATTCACTGCCTAAACCTACCATAACTCCATTGAACCTGGAGGTAGAAGAAGGAACTGCAGTGGCATTGACCTGCTCCGCTGTTTCTCACTGTCCCATTCTTCCTCCACTTCTGACATGGTCGCCCGCTTTAGGTGACACAGAGGAGGAAGTGGAAGCTAACCCTGCGACCTCTGTGATGAACTTCACTGCTTCTCACCTTCACAATGAACAAAAAGTTTCTTGCACTGCCGTCTATAACCGACAAGCTGGGAAAAGTGACCTTCTGTATGAAAAAATTCTGACGCTAAGTGTTCTTTGTGAGTATATTTTATCACCTTTTCTTTTATTGTTTGCATTCATACCATAACATGATTTTATTTATGGTCTGATATTATCTGATTTGGTCTTCTCCAGGATAATAAAAAACCTATAAAAGAACATCTAATCAGATGGTTTAGGTTTTTTTTTTGTATAGTTTCAAAAGTCACTCTGTTTCAATGAGCTTCAGTTTTGCCATTCAATCAAGTTCCAATCAAGCGCTACAGCTGGGATAGACCCTTGGTTACATTGTAAACATTTGGCAGGTCTCCAGAAACACAAATCCAGTTTTGCTGATGTGAAAAGACAAATGTTTATCATTCCAGTTGTAGGCTTGACACTGATTATGAGTGGCCCAAAAAATCTGTCTGTGCAGATAGATTGTGTATTAACAATTTCATATTTCTCTTACAGATCCTCCAAATAACACATCCGTTAGTTACTCTGGTCCTGTAAAAGAAGGCAGCTCAGTGACCGTGACCTGCAACACTAATGCAAATCCAGCCGTGGACAGCTACACCTGGTACAAAGTGAATGGAGATCAGGTGTCAGTGGTGGGATCTAAGAAGAGGTTTTCAGCCACAGTGTCAGAAGTTGACAGTCAGTTTTTTTGTGGAGTCAGTAACAGTTATGGAAGCCAGAATTCTTCTATCACTCAGATTGACGTACAGTGTAAGTGAGCCTGAAACAAAAAGACAGATTATAAATGTTGGATCACAGCATAGACTGAACCCATGCTTGTTTATTTTTCCAGTTTCCCCGAGGGAAACAACAGTAATCGTCGATCCCACTGGTCCAGTTCTGGAGGGCAGCTCTGTTTCTCTGATCTGTAAGAGCCGCTCTAACCCACCAGTGACCAACTACACCTGGTACAGAGATAATGAGATGGATAAGGAGCTCGGACCAGTCTTGGTCATAGACGGTGCCGACACCAGCCACAGCGGTGATTACCACTGTACAGCCAAAAATGATCTGGGAGAGGAAACGTCAGCAGCAATTCAGCTGGACATTCAGTGTGAGTTAATTTAACACAGTAAAGACATTGATTTACACCGAAAACAAACAAAACTGTATGTCTCCAGTGTGCTCACGTCCTGAACATGGCTCTACTGTATATCCAGCTGTGCTCAACCCAACATGATCTGGGGCCAAGACTTGTTAACAGGGCAACACTAGTGTCTGAGCTATGGACAGTAACACATTGTCATATTGCGTGACAACCTCAAAACCTTCTGAGTCCATCATGACTGAGCTCCACTGTGTCCACATGTGTGCCAGTGTCTGAATGTATGTGTAGCTGTTTTGTTTAATTTGTGTCCTCATCAAGCTGTAAGAGTACAGAAAAGTATGATTAAAGCCCCCCCAAAGCAAAACACAATTAATTCTATCAAAAAGGAATAATATGAATCACAATGAAAAAGAAAAAAGTATTATGCATATCAATTAATAACTTTCTGCCCTAAAACTTGCACCAGAACATCCTAATTGATATATTTTCTGAAAGGCTGAATATGCATTCCCAAACAAGTAAAAAAAAGTCTTTGAATGCAATACTAACAAGGAACATTATTTTCCTTTCAGATCCTCCTAAAAATACTTCAGTGTCTGTTGACCCTTCTGGTCCTGTGCTGGATGGCAGCTCTGTGACTCTGACTTGCACAAGCATCGCCAATCCAGCAGCGGTGAACTTCACCTGGTTCCAGGTGGCAGGAAGGAAAAAGGAAGCGGTGGGCTTTGAGCAACACTTCACCTTCAATGTGACCAAACTCTCAGATGATCAATATCATTGTGAAGCTCTTAATGTCCATGGAGCTGAATGCTCAGAGCCTGTCAGCATTGATGTCACATGTAAGACTCTTATTCTTGCTTTCATTCCTTTGAAGCCTTTATGTTTCCCCAAGAAAAGCGCCCATAAGCCTAGTTAACCCATTACCTTCTTTGTCTCAGTTGCTCCAGAGATCCTATTTTCTTCCCGCTGTGTGAAGATTTTGTCCCAGATCCGATGTACCTGTAACACTCAGGGGAACCCGCTTCCCTCCCTGGTTTGGCAGCTGGCTGGCGAGCTTGTCAATCACTCTGCTGATATCCCAATTCGGGAAGTAAATCTGGGGAGCACGAGCGTGAGGAGCATCATCACTCTGTACTACCTGGGCCAAGACATGCCCTCTCTGGTCTGTCTGAGCAGCAACTCCCTGGGGTCTGATAGTATAGCTTTCAATATATCCTCCAGTGAAACTCAGCTAGGTAAACATATCTGTAGGAAGCTTCATTTTATATTTGGCTTTTCTGTTGTGTCATTTGCATCTTTTAGTGATTGATATGACTGTTTTTTTTTTAAGTCCTCCATACTCTTTCTTTGCTGATTGGTTCTGGAGTGGGAGCACTGGGGATGCTGCTGGTTTTCATACCGCTACTGATATGCCTTTACAGGTGAGGAACACAGAACACTGGTACCAGATATTTTCAAAGTAGGTTACGATTATCATGTATAATCAAAAATGCATATAACAGACATATTTCAAGGTTCCTTTTGTAAGCTGACTAATTATAGAGCAACCACAGCTGCCACAAATCATTACTAACAAGGCAGCCTTCTGATGAAACTTTATCTGCCCACCTTGAAGCTGAAAACACACACGTGTAATACATGAATTGTGACAAAATCAAAACATTATCAGGGGGATAACGACTTTTAGAGTTTTTAACCTTGTGGCAAGGAATTTTCAAGGAGAAAGTATTTTTCCTAAAGCATATTTCAATGTAAAATCTTTAATGTGAATTAAACCTTTCACCTTTCTGTGATGGTTGCAGGAAAAGGAAGGGCAATGTTTCACTTGACAAGGGACTTGTGGATATTTCAGACTGTTTAGTCACCAATGAGGTGAGTTTATGTTGATGCATATATATGAGTTAGATGAAGAAAAAAATCCCACCTGTGGTAGAATGAGTTTGCCTCCAGCTCTTCCTGTGTACTTGCCAATGTGTTAGTGTGATTTAAACACCAAAACATATTGTCTGCGAAGGTTCTCAGTCATCCAGGTCATCGTAGTCTAAAGACCAAGTCTAAAGAGCTTGGAAAGAGGAAGAAGCTTCTCGGCTGAGAGAAGAAACGTCTTCAAGAAACTTCCAGACGTCTTTCTTTCCAAGCTCTTTAGATTCCAAAACGTATTCTGACTCTCTGAGCTAATGGTGTGTCCTGTTTGAATGATAAAATGAACGTTTTCTTGCATAGTAAATGTGAATATAGTATGCCAAAACATATGCTCTTAAAAAAACACAGTTAAAGTGAACCTCATTATTGAAATAGAAAAAAACACATCTTTTCTGTGTTACTGAAACACACTGTTGTGGTTTCTCTGTAGACTAACTCTTCAAAGGCAGATGTGATTTATGTCAATAAAGCCATTCTTGAGGCAGAAGCAGCAGAATACAAGGATGACTCTCTCCATTATGCTGATGTGGACTTTGCTCAACTTCAGGCCAGGTCAGAGGGCAAGCTCGGGGAAGGTGAGATCAAAGGCCTGGCCTCTAAGACTGGTGTGGATTCTGAGATCCATCGAGAAGCACCAAGCAATGGAGGAGATGCAAAGTAGGAAGAAACACTTGCAGATGCTCATTTTGGAAGAAAGAAAGATGCTAAGGGACTTACATGAAGGGTTGATGAGAAAGTGGTCACTTAGCTTTAGAGGAATTGACAGCAGAAGCCCAGGAGTTTGGACATTCCCTCCGGCCCTGGTTTTGATCCTCGTCTGTAAATTCTTCTCCTGTCTTACTAGTAAAAATAGCATGACGGAAAAAAAAGGCATATCTGTATGCTGAGGTTGAATCTTTAACTATATGCATATGACTAACCTTTGTCTAATTCTAAAAAAACCTTTGTGGAGTGTGTAAGAAGCAGGTACAACCTAAAACTTGTTAGGCACTTGTTTTTATTGACAACTTTGTAATGCATAATTATTATGTGATTAAAAGAGTAACTGGCCCTGCAGTCAAGTTTGCCATCAAACAACAGCTTGTGTCAAAGCAGGTTATGAAATGGAACTATGCATACAGTAAAGTACTTTAATTTCAAGACAGATATATACATTAAAAAACTCAGCAGGAAGATGGGAGCACAATTTTACAACAGCAGTCATTTCATTTTATCACTTATCCATATACACTTCCCCAACAGTCTTACATCTATGATAAAAAGATAGGTTTGTGTACTTGTGGGGACTTATTACTATACATAAAGGGAAGCTAAAATTATATCCCAGGAAGGAAAAAAGAAACAATGAGGTAATACAAGCCTTGTTCAGTATAGTTAGCCTGGCAAATATATTTCAGAACGTCCATGGCACAAACTGGCAGAGATGTCTGAATAGGATCAAAGCATTTTTAGTCAAATTTTGACCTGAGAGTACTGAGTTTCATCTTCGCTGCTGCTGCTGCTGGAGTCTCGCTGGTGGCCAGACTTTGGCTTAATGTTCACATGAGCATAGTTGACCTCCACCTCATCTTCACTGGTATCTGTCTCTGAGTCAAAGTTATATGTATATGGAGGTTTGGGTGGAAGTTCTTCGCCAATGTTCTCATAGTCCTCCTGCACTTCTTGTTCTGTCTAGATGACAAAAAGTGACAAAACGGTGTCATAATTTCTGACAGTGTCTGGATTTGATGTACAAAAATAACCCTTGTTGAAGATCATTTTCATTCTTTACTTTGCCTTAACTTAATTTTCCTTGCTACAATGATTTTTATTTGTATTTGTATATCATATACAATGAGTATATGATATACAAATACAATACAAATACAATGAAATAAGCTAATAAACTGAATGAGATACAGGGGGAAAAAGGCATTTTGAGCTTTCTTACCACTTTTGACTTCTTAGGCTTTGACACCACAGAGTACTCAGCATCCTCCTCTGAATCCCTGGGGAAAACATATAGTCATAAAAGAAGTCACGTAATAACATATCATTTAGGCTCCTTTTATATACAGAACTGAATTCTCACTTTTTTCTATTCTCAAAGAACACAGAAGCGTAGTTGAGAGAATCATTTCCCATGTTTCCACCATGTCCTTTGATTGGGTTTTGTGCAGAGGCAGCCTGAGCAAATGCAGAGAGAACTTGTCAATGAATGTAGAGTAGCAACTGAATCAGTTCATTCATGCCTTACATGAAGGATAATTAATAAGTATACTGACAGATATATATCAACAGTAAGGGACAGCATAAGCATAAGGCTGGATTAGTGGAGATAAAACTTTACAAACTACTCTTGACTTTTATTATTTTCTACAGAGCCCCTAAAGTACTGAAACATTTTAAATGGATTTGTCTTTGTTGAGCTTGCACTGATATGATTGGATCACCTGTTTGCTTTTGGGCAGATTCACAGCAGAGTAAACAGTGTTCACGTTGGATGCAGTCCTGTGGAAAAATAATGATGTTAAAAATAAAAAAATGCACATTCAGAATCAGAACCATTCAAAAGCTGAGCAGACTCTGGGTGTGCCATTCATAACTGAATGATGTTAAATGGGTGCTTTGACGAAAGAGTGAGCAGCAGCACCCAGCTCCCCTGCCAACAATGAGTCCCTTGTTCTGAGCTGGACAGTGCGAGCTGCTGCAGACTTACGTGCTGTCTGGATGACGCTGGGGTCGTTGGGCATTTGGTTGACATGGATGGTTTAGCAAGAGGTCATCTCTGCTCCTGAACGGCTCTGCCAAACCACTCTGATTCCCACTGCTCCTGCTGACTCCATTCCAGGAACCCTGATTCAGTTTACAGATGGAAATGCATCATTTTTGTTTCATTTCACTAACAATTCAAAAGATTTAACATATGAGTTAATACCAGAAAACTACTCCAGGACCACACATTTGTAGTTCTTTGTTGAATTAAATTGTTCCTTCTGCGTCTGTAAACAAAGGGGCAGAAGAGCAGTCATACAGGCCAATCACCCGAACACGTTTCTCTAATGGAAACTATTTGTTATTTACTTTGTATATTACCTGTACAAAAAGATGAGTATGCATACAATTAGAAAAATAAGACAAAGCGAGAAGACCTCCACAATCTTCATAACTGTGTCTGTGGTTAGAAGAGACAGAACATCAGTATATAGAGAGATTTGTGAACAGGTAGCACAGCAAAACAAAAAGCACCCAAAGAGCACAAACCTCCACCAAGACAGTTCAATGGGCAGTGTTACTTTTAAGGGCATAAACACATTGTGTGTATGATTTTTTTTCTTTGTTCTGTCTAAATGTACTTTTCAAATAAGGGTAACCTGACACATGTTTACTTTGAGTACACAGACATTATGCAGGAGTAGGTGATGGATAATAGGCACTGAGTTGTAAATACCTGGACATGAATAAGTTGAGCTTATTAAATAATGTAATATTGTTAAAACAAATGTTGATGGCTTGTTAACATGACCCCGCTCTACACCGCTACAAAGTTTTATATACGTATTAAAAAAAGGAAAAATATAATTTAAATGTATTATTATATAAAAACAATGCATAGTAGAGATAAAGGTCAATGCCTTTGGAATTCACTCACCGTCAAATAGCTTGATTGGCTCAGATGATCTTTCACCAATTTCGTTTTTTGCGACGCAGTAGTACTCCCCAGGCTGGTCTGATCTCACAAAAATATCCGTACCGTTTGCTACATTTTTGTTCTCTTTTTTGTTTATCCTCTGGTACCATGAATATTGCGTGACTTCAGGATAGCACTGACTGATGCACCTCAGTTTCACTCCTGTCAGTTCATCATGCTGCTCTTCCTTTTCTTTTTCAATCTTTGTGAATTTTGGACCATCTAAACAGAGGAACAGAGAAGAAAAGGAAACGCAAAATAATGATTTCAAAAAAAGACAGAATAGCTAAATATGGAAAGTTTTAAAATGACAATGTACAGTTGCTCTATTCAAAGCTGTTTCATGTAGAGTTAGAAATGTTCCTTTCTCATATCCCTTAGTTGCTGGTCCAAAGTGCACATGCGGCACAATCTGAATGACCTTTCTAAAGCATTTTACTTGTCCCAGAATGAAAAACTAAAACCAGTAAAATCAACCACTTGTTAGAGTCCACGTCATATTTGAAGTTTAGATGAAATGAGTAAATAATTACAAAGCAAAGTATTAGACGTGTGGATACTCTGTTGTTGGTGAGAAACGATGACTGAAATATTCAAGTGTACTCACGCTTAACTTTAACTTCAACTTGCACTGATTTCCCCGTTCCAATTTTATTTGTGGCCGTACAGCGGTACTTCCCGCTGTCAGAGACACTGGCAGAATCCACAATGAACGGTGTCCCAGTGCTTATAGTGCTTTCCATCATCCCATCGATCATCTTCATCCAGGTGAAGGAGCTTACTGATGGGTACGAGTTGGCACTGCAATCCAGTGTTAATGACTCATTCTCTTTTACAATAAGACCAGGATGACCTGTTATTTTCACCTCTCTGGGGCTATCTGCATTTAACGCAAATTATAAACAAAGAAATGAGATGATGTTTTTATTTGTTTCTTTTTAATCACAAGATCTTTCTGTAAAATCATAACCTTAATATTTAAATTATTTACAACTCAAATTCTATTATAGCTGAAATTCAGCAGTAAAATAATCTAATCTGTTAATCAAGAAAAACAACAGTAGTTAATATATTGCAACAATGCCTCATGTTTCTTGAACCTTGAACACTGTTTCCTGAGCTGATGATGTGTCTTTTGTAAAAAAAACAAAAAATAGGAGCTTGAAAGTATGGAACAGCTAAACTTTACTGCCTAAGGAATTGTACTAAAACCACATTTCAGTTTAAGATATTGTCTAGTTATTAGATGATTGAATATTATCAGAATATAATTGTGTTGGATGTAACATATATATGACAAAGACATGCATCACTCAATTGCTTACAATTCACCACCAGTTGCTTTTTTGAGCTCCACTGGTTTCCTTCGCTGTTTGAGGCCTTGCAGGTGTAAAAGCCTGCGTCTGTTGAATTTGCCTTAAATTTGTAGGAGTTGTCTAAAATTAAACTCCATTCTGGAGTCTGAGAATTTGATTTAGAATATCTTGCCAGAGTGAAAGTTGGCAGTGGGAAACTTTCAGCAGTGCAGTTGACTTCGACAGGGTCGCCTTCAGTGACCAACTCAGTCATGTACAGATTGGTATGATTGGGAGGAACTGTGGAGAGGAAGCACCTGTGAGCATCATTTTTAACATGCTGAATGATATTACAAGATCAGTCCTTAAACAGAATGTCAGCTCTATGCTGAACCAGCATTCACTAAATGTTTTTATTTTCTTTGTATAAAAGTTGCAGTTTAAGTCAAATTTGAGCTTTTACTTGGGTTAAAATATCTAATTTGACACAGACTAGTTTGCTTGACAGTTAACATACTAATTAATTATCATTAGGCAAGTGCAGCTTCATCTAACGCTATGCTACAACAGTAATAATCACATTAATCTGAAAAAGCATGTATGCATTTTTTTCTCTGTGATGGTACTGATTGATAAAGGGAATCAGTTTTAAAACAAAGTGCAGAGAAACTTTAATATGTCAGCAGAGTACTTACA